GGCTCGTGGTGTCATGGGGAGTCTTGATAAATGATGGAAGTGCTGATAGAGGAAAAGCAAAAAAAGGCTGTGAGTGATTCTGTGGGGAAACATCATCGTCTGGGTGGTTCTGTTTTCCTTCCCACAGAGGCATTAAGGTGGCCCTCAGCCATGCACTGTGACAGTGCTCACAGGGGTCTTAGGATGAGGGAAGAGACGAGGATCTGACTCCATGTTTCAGAAGGCTTGATTTATTATTTTATGATATATATTATATTAAAACTAGACTAAAAGAATAGAAGAAAAGATTTCATGACAAGGTAAGCTAAAAATAGAAAAAGAAGAAGAATGATAACAAAAGTTTGTGTCTCGGACAGAGAGTCTTAGCCAGTTGACTGGGATTGGCCATTAATTAGAAAAACTAACATGGGCCAATCAAAGATTTACCTGTTGCATTCTACAACAGCAGATCATCATTGTTTACATGTTGTTCCTGAGGATTCTCAGCTTCTCAGGAGAGAAAATCCTAAAGAAAGGATTTTTCAGAAAATATCGAGGCTACGGCACACTCCAGCCACGCCATCATGCCCATCCAGCTCATGATGTCGTGGGGGGTTTTGATAAATGATGGAAGCACTGATAGAGGGAAAGCAAGAAATGAGTATGAGTGGTTCTGTGGGGAAACATAGTCTTCTGGGCGGTTCTGTTCTTCCCACAGAGGGATTAAGGTGACAGTTACCCATGGGCAGGAGGATGGCTGTGAACTGCTGGGGACTGACCCCGTGTTACTACAGAACACACCTGTCCGTAGAGTCCATGACAGCCCCAACTCAGATCATTAGAGCTGGGATTAAAGCTAATTTTCTTCTGTGAAAACAATCTGTTATCTCTCCTACAGAGAACTTCCAACTGCTACTTCTCTCTTCTTTGCACCCTTTTATATTTTCGTTTTCATTGGGCAAAGAACCTACCTGAGCAGCCAAAGAGCAGCAGCTCAAGCTGCTAAGAACATGCATGCTGAAGTGCTTGGCTGGATGGCACCCAACACAAAATGGTGTGTGCTCCTCACAGGGCACTTCCCAGCATCCACTGAGATACAAACAGCTGCTGTGCAGAGGTTAAGAGCTCACCATCAGGAACAGATCCTTGGGAGCAAGGAATTGTCTCTGGAAAAATCCCTTCGCCCAGGATTTTTCTCCTGGGAAGCTGAGAAGCCTCAGAGAAAAGGGATACAATTCTTATATCATTTGCTTCTCCTGTGTTTTGCTCGTGTGTGGAATGTGTTTGGAGATTGTTTACCCACAGGTGATTGTTCCATTGGTTTCTGGTGTGAATTGTTTTGACTCAATATCCAATCAGTGCCAAGACTGGAGAGGACCATGAGTTTTTATTATTGTCTTTTTAGAATTATGTAAGTATCCTTTCTGTATTCTTTAGTATAGCTTAGTATAGCATTCTTTAATATATCATAGCATCATAAAATAATAAGAACATGGAGTCAGATTACTCATTCCTCCCTTCCTCGGGGCGCCCCACAAATAGAGCAGAATTGTACCACAATTCAGGCTGAGGAGAAGAAGAGGAGGAAGCAGTTCCCACTCACCATTGACAGTGAGCCTGGCCTTGTTGGAGTAGGTGGAGCCGAAGTGGTTGGTGATGACGCACTGGTAGCGGCCCTCGTGCGCGAAGGTGACGTGCCGCAGGTGCAGGATGGTGGTGCACTCCATCACCTCCCCGTCCTTGGCGCGCACGTGCGCGAAGTTCTCGATCTCGGCGTTGTGCAGCATCTCGTTGTCCTTCTTCCAGGCAAACACCATGGGGGAGCTGCTGCTGCTGGCTGCCAGGCAGGTGAAGCGGATGTCCTTGCCCAGCACAGCCACCGTCGTCTCCGGCTGGATGATGATCTGGGGCTTAGGGAAATCATCTGGGAGGAAAGAGCAGCAAGAAAGAGTGAGTGCTGGGCTCTGAGGGGAGGCTGGAGCAAGCCAAGAGGTGAAATGAGAAATAAGGACTGCTCTGTAGAGCAGGTGTGCCACACACAGCCCCACTGAGTTGTTGGTTTACATGGGACTGTTGTTCCTCTGGTTCCTTCAGCAGGCTGAGATGATCACTGAGTAACCTCAGACACCAACAAGACACCCAGCTCCTTCACCAAGTGAATCTGAGAAAGATACTATGCTCTGAAGAAGATATTCAGACCATATTCAGGTTGTCCTTCTTTGTACAATCCATGCATGAAGAGCACAACTGAACTTTAAACCTCACCTCCAGACCTCTACTGGCATGAAGTAGGAGGGGAGAGGGCACTTAAAGGGCTGCAAGTGTCACTTCCAGGGAAAATCGCTCCCAAGAGGTTTTACTGAGGTGGGGTTGGTCTCTTCTCCCAGGCAATGGCCTCAAGTTGTGCCAGAAGAAGTTTACATGAGGTAACAGGAAACCTTTCTTCCCCAAAAGGGCTGTCAGGCACCAGAATGAGCTGCCCAGGGACCAGGGAGGTGGTGGAGTCACCATCCCTGGAGGTATTTAAATCATGTGTCAATGTGGCACTCAGGGCCCTGGTTTAGTGGTGTGTTTGGCTGCAGGAAGTTAACAGTAAGTAAGTTAAAGTTAAAAGTTCTTAGAAGTCTTTTCCAGCCTAAAGGACTCCAGGACTCCATGACTCTCAAAGCAGAAGCAGCTGTATTTGCCTGTCACCCGACCAGGGTGGAAAGCTTTGCACACTCTCTCTCTGCCCTGAAGACTGTTGGTTTTAGCAAAGATCCAAGCAGATTCATTTATTAGGTTTCTACAAATGGTGTAATTTAATATTTGACTAAGGTTTAATTAAACAGCCAGGCCTCTGGAACCAGGACTACTAGAGCCTGGAGGACTTGGCAGGCAGCAGGGAGCAAAGCTGCTTTTGCTTTGTGATGTTGCTGTGGGGATGAAGCTTTCAGGATCTCTCCTTCCAGATGAGCACAGCAGGGCTCCCTCCCAGCCTGCTCAGACAGAGGCCACCTAGGCAGAGGGTGTCACTGGGGGCTCAGGAGGGACCCTGGAACAAAGCTCCTGCTCCCTGTTCAGTGCAAGTCATGCATTCGGCTCAGTTAAATACTGTTTGCAAAAGCTCATTTTTCCTTCCAACAGCCATGTGCAGCTCCACCCAGGATCCTCACTGGTTGGCTCCACTGCACAGGGTTTGGCTCCCAAACCAGGCCTTTCTTTCCCCCAAAACCTGGATGCCTGAGCAGCACTGATTTGGCCTCTTCTCATCATTTAAATTTCTTTATGAGAAAGGTAGTAGATGTTTATGTGTGCTGGTATTAAGTAAAGCTGCTTTGAAACCATAGCTCAGGTGCAGAGTGAGCTGCAGTATTTGGGTGGGCCTTACTGGCCCCAAAGAAGCAGCTGTGATGGAGGGATTCCCCTCTGGCTTTTGTTTTTAACTCTTTGTTGTCTCCAAGAGGGAGAAGAGATGGGTAAAGAACACAAATCCACACAAGAGATCAGAATACTGCAGAAGGAAAAAAATTACAGCTGCAGGCTTGATGATACTATCAAACTGAGAGGACTGGGGAAGTTTCTGTGCAGCCCCATCTGGAAATGGAACAGCCCTTAGTCCCTTTTGATTTAATACTCAGGGAGCCCTGTAAGGAATACTCTGGATGCAAGCAAGGCACTGTGTGGTTTTAGTGGGAAATAAATTGTAGCCAATGACAAATTTTTTAAATGCAGGCTTGGGCTTCCTTTGATCCCACTGAATAACAAAACAAAACAGAAACCCTCTCATAATAACATGCTGGTACTCAAAGAAAATGTTTCCCAAGTGACTCCCACCCTTCACACAACCTCAAAACACACAGGCAAGACTTACCACACACGAAACTCTCTGGCTGGATGGCAAAAATGCTCTTGCTTTTCAGTGACTCAGGATGGGCACAGGTGGCCACCACAAAGGACTGCAGCTCCTTCTCCACCAGCCACTGGGGCAGCCACTTGAGCTGGCAGTCACAGAGGAAGCTGTCACTGTTAATGTGCCTGCAGGGAAACAAAACCAACACCAGCCTGCTGTCAGTCCTGCATGGAGGGAAGGCTGGGAAACTCACAGCCCTTTCATGTTAAACACGGGTGGAAGGATCAGAAAGGACTGCAGGGATGTCCTCGAGGCACTGAAGGTGTTACAGGCATGACACAAATAGAGAAACCCCCTCCTGCACTGCAGTGACACTCTGCAGCTACTTGTAATTATCAACCAGCCCCCAGAGTGATCCCCAGGAACACACAAGACACATCAATGAGCTCCTGCTCTGCCCCTCTGGGGTTTGAGCCCTTGGTGGGGACCAAATTCAGCACTTGGCTGCTGACCAGAGAGAGAGTGAACACCCAGCTCCCACTGAAAGGCTTTGAGTTCCCTCCATGGCAGAGCAGTCAGCAGAGAGACCCTGCCTTCCATAAGGTGACCCCGGAGTTGTATTTACTGATTAAAAGGAGCAGCAGAGGAGAAATGACCAAAGATATTTGTGCAGACCCCACAGGAACAGTAGCTAGTCTGGAAAACAAAACACACAAACATTTCTCAGCATCCTGAGTTCCACCCCAATTGTAGGATTCTGTAATTCTCTGATCAATCTAGGAAAAGAGGTGTGAAAAAGGGGCAAAGAAAATGGAAGCTTTGGGATTAATGTGGGCTCTTTTTAATATTCTGGGCCAAATCATGGATCAGCATAGCTCTAAGGCCAGTGAAGAATTGTAAATTTACACAAACAGGGCTTTCATACTTTGGTGTGGTTTGTGAAACTCAATCTGATCCTTGGAATTGAATGTGAGGATGCCTCAGAGACTGGGAAATGCCCCAGAGAGAGCTCCTGCCCTGTAATCCTACAAGCTGTGCAAGAGCAGGGTATCAAGAGCACAGAGAATCCCAACTCCAGCACTGCACTACAAGATGTGAATCTCCTGCTAATTTTCTACCCAATACCTCAGGAAATCCTGAAGTCTGAAATGAGCAGGGAAGGTAAAGAGGGAAAATTGACTGGAGAGGGAGGGAATATAGGGATTTGATTTTTCAAAGCTGTCCACTCTGCAGTTTTAGAAAGATGTGTAGCCTCTAACATATGAAGGCATAAAACCCACCTGGGTACTTGGGACAGGTCAGGAGATCCTGACCTGGACAAGGAGCACAATGCATTCTGCATGTAAATGTCCTCTATCTGAACTTCTCCCTTTTATAAACATTCCTTCACAATATCTGGGATCTCACTATCTCTCACTAATAAGATCAATCCTTCATCTCAATTTTGTTTCAAGTGCCAGTGCAGAAGATAAAGTTTTTAATCACATAACAGACACACAGTGTTTATCTTCTTCACTCCCAGTCACTGGTATCAGGTGTCACTGCCAGCAGTGACCATCTGATTCCCATTTCCAATGTCAGGAGCAAGAACCTGTACCTGCCCAAATACCCAATAAATGATTCTGTGTTCCACAGACACTGCACTACTCTGGGGCATAGCAACACACTGACAGTGGATTAAATATTTATGGGGAAGAGGAGAAAAGGAAACCAGGCAAGACTGGAAACAGTGTCTGATAACAGTGCAGAGCCCCAGGCTGGAGCACAAGCAGCAGCTCTGATAACACATCTGTATTTTTACACCAGAAGGCTGAATGACAAGTGGATGCAGTTCAAATGGTGCTTATCACTGCAGTATCAGTCCTGTGTGTGAACCCTAAACACAGGAACAGCAAGGGAGCACACAGGCCACTGGGAATTAAATCCATGGTGCTGTGAGCAGGAGAGCTGGCTAACAGGAGCAGGGCTGGACTTCCTGAATGGAGATGGATAATTGCACAGGCACAAACCTGCTGCAAGAACCTGTCCCTGTGATCTAATTTCACTCACTATTACATGCAATGACAGCTCCTGATGTGTAAAAATACCCCCCAGAGGAGGATGCAGGGGAGGGGGAAATGCCTGAGTGGCAATGTGGGTAACAGCAGTGCTGCTCTGAGGTGCAGGGCCAGGAGGATCCCTCCTGCCTGGGTGGGTGTGAGCAGGACAATCACTTACAGCTGCTTCAGGCTCCTCATCCTGGCAAAGGCATCGGCTTGGATGGAGCGGATGGCGTTGTCCCCCAGGTTCCTGCAGGCACAACCACAGGCAGGGTCAACAGAGGAGATGCCATGGCTGGGACACAGCCTCTCACACTGATTTAAGCAATGATTCCAGTAAAAGGTGGTTTGGTAGCTCCTTGTTAAGGCCTTCAGCACTTACATAGAAATGTTCCTCAAAACACCTTTGTATTATTAAAGCATTGCTGAACAATAGCCAGCCAACAAAAATTACACTTAACTGAATCACTAAGACATTCCCTACCCCATCTTCTCACTGCGCTTTCTCAGTCTGAGCTACCTCCATCATCCATAGCTCAGAAATTCCTCAGCCCCCTGGATAACCAAAGATAGTCAGGAATGTGGTACCCCAGGCTAGACCTTCAGCAAACATAAAAGAAAGCAAATACATGCACTAAGCAGCATCTGAGGAATTATTTGAAAATTACTTGGAGAGGATACTGTTTGGTTTAAAAAAACATCCCAGTGTTTCCAAAGGAAGGGGTTAAAACCTTTCCTCACAACTATTGCTAATTAAAAAAATAATTTGTTCTCTGAAAAAGCACAGTGTCATATTTAGGGCTGAAGTTTACTAAGTGACATGTAGGGCAGATGAGCACTGCCTAAAGAGGACAATCTCAGGAGAGCATTAAGGACACCTTTATTTGGGAATGTACTCCCAGCCAGGCAGCCCAAACCTTTCAGTGTGCTCTCAATGGCCATAACATTTCATACAATCAACAGCCAATAAAACATGTAGAGCACAGTCACATATACTTTAACTTGTCTTAATCCAAGAAAGGAGGTTATTCATGAATCACTGCTGGAGTCATCAGCCTTGGGACACAGAAAAAAAATTACACAGAGGCAGCCAAAATTCACTTCTTGCAAATGGCTCTTAAGGGGGTTGTGCTGAATGGGGATGTTGAGTGGGGATGCATCAAACCCAGTTATCTGTAACATGTGGCACTGCCAGAGCCTGGTTTAGGAGGGAGTTGGGGCAAAGGAGGAGAGAGTGCTGTGCCTGCACCAGCCCCTTTTCATTGCTAACAGCCTGCAAAGCAGCAATGTGCAAGTCAAGGTGATACTCTCAAAAAATTAAGAGCATGCAAATTTCCCATATGTTCTATAACTTTGTTCCTGGCACAAAAAAAGGCCAAAGTTGAGGCGGACTTATAATGAGAAGGAAGCAGGTGGCCCCCACAAATGGACTGGCTTCTCAGTTTACAAAGACACTATTAAATTGCTAGCAGATTTCTCAAGCAGCTCCTTTTGGCAGACCCCCCTTCCCAAACTCTGAGGCATGGTGGGTTACTCACAGGTGCTCCAGAGCCTCCAACCCTGAGAACGCTTTCTTGGCCACCGACTTGATCTTGTTTCCAAACAGAGTTCTGCAGTTTCCAAACATCCAGTGCCAGATAAACAGAAAGAAAATGGGGAGAGGGGGGCAGAAAAAAAGACAAAAAAAAAAAGGAACACAATTAGTGTGGCTTTATCTGATATACACACTCAGTGTAAGTCCCAGGAAATCTGAACTGCACAGAGATTAAGAGGGCTGAAGCACACTCACTTTCCTGCTCCTGAAATGAAATCCTTTTATCTGTATTTGAATTTAATAGTGATGACAGCACAGAAGGGAATGTGCCATATCATGTAAAAAGGCAGGTTTGCTCCTGTGCTTGGGAACCAGCTTGCTGAGTAACAGAAGGTCCCCTCTGTTCTTCACAGGCTGGCTGTGGACAGGATTAAGTGCAGTGACAGCTTAACAAGGTATTGGTTTCTCCCCACAAACTTTTCATTTCTGACTTCTTCCCAGACAGGAAGAAGAGTGGTGATTTATCCCCTGGTGCTTGGCCTAGCAGCCATCAGCACTCAGAGCTGAGGGCTGCCCTGGGCTGCACACTCACACAGCAGCTGACTGCAGGCACTGCTCATTCCTCATTGTTAAATACAACACCAAGGCAACAGCATGCAACAGATCATAGCCAAGGGACAATTTCAAGGAGCAAAAGGCAGATCAGGTAATGTGCAGAGCTGAGGAATGGGTTTGTGTGCATCTGTGACCAGAGAGCATTCCTCTGAATCAGCAGTGGCATGAGGGGGCTATCATCCAGCTGGAGAGATCCCAGCCCAGCTGCCATCTCCAGAGCAACAGTTCTCCATAAATATTGACCAGGGTTTGTGCCAAATGGACAGTCCCCTCACCTGTTTTAATAAAACATCAACCAGTGTCATCAATGAGGAACTGCTTCCTTCTCCAGGCTCCCCCCAAGGCTCATCCTCCAGGTGCCTCTGTTATCACCACATGGTGTCCAGGGCAAGCCATCCCCACACCTCAGGTGGAAAAAGGGCACATCTGGTGCTGCATTTGGTTTTGAGTTTTCATTCAAAAGCTGCCCTTCAGTACAGGGTGTGAAAGCCATTTTTGCACCCCAAAAAGACTTAGAGCTATGATGGCCCCACTGCTTGCTCACTGACCAGGGAAAGGAGTTCAAGATGGAGCTTGTGCAGCCATTCCACGAGCAAACACATTTCCAAGAACTTGTCAAGGCTTTCCACAAAGCACTTTTCAGATGTCAGGATAATTTGGTTATATATTGGCTCCAGGAAAGCCCAGTCTCAAATACCCCCAGCACCAAAGGATGTGTGCAGTCATGTGTGCCATCATTTGGTAAAAGGGATGCTGCATTAATGAAGGCTTTGAGAAATCCATTAGAATGATTAATACAGTAAATAATTTACTATATGTAAACTCTGGTCAAATAGCTGCATCCACACACACTGATTTCTGCAGCCATATTCCTAATAAATGTGCTTTAAGGACAAGGTAAGGATAAAATCAGGACTAAAGGAAATGGCCTCAAGCTGTGCCAGGGTTTAGATTAGACTTTAGGAAAAATTTCTTCAGAAAAAAGGGTTGTAAGCATTGAACAGACTGTCCAGGGAAATGGCAGAGTCACCATCCTTGGAATTGTTCAAAAACATGTGGATGTGGCACTTCAGGACATGGTGATGGTGCTAGGTTAATGGCTGGACTTGATGATCCTAAAGACCTTTTCCAACTTTTATGATTCTAATGGAAGTTAGATGGGCAACTGCTGCTGGTGAAAAAAATTAAATTAAAAAAATGACGCTGAACTTGGGTTTGATAGCTGCAGACTTCTATTACTGTTCAGTGGGTTTTGGTCTTTGAAAATTGGAGATTCTGCTGATACCTGTTTAGTTACCTGTGCAGAGATAAGGAGTGCAGAGATAAGGAGTGCATCTGGGGAAGGGAATACACAGCTACAGCACTTGTGAAGGCTCACACAGCTCCATGCCTGGACATGAGAAATACCTAACACACACAACAAGTCAGGCCTCAGCAAACTCATTACTCCTTGCAACTAATTTCAATTAAGTGCCTCTACAAATCCCAGAGTTTGAACCTGGAGGCCCCCATCAAAGGGCTGTGAAGGCTGGAATGCGAAGGCAGCAGAACACAGCCACAGTTACCCATCCCACTGCTGCCTGAACCTCCTCCAGGGGCACAGCCCAGCACAAGCTCTCCTGGAGACTGCACCAGGGTAATTATATTCCAAGCACACAATTCACAGCAGCCTTTTCTCCTCCAGCCAGTTTTGCACCTGCAGGAAGATCTCGCTGAGTGAGCCATCAAAAACTGGTTACATTTAGCAGCTTGAATAATTAGGAACCTCCTTGCTCCACAGTGATTCCACCGGTGCTTTTTATGCTCCAGTGCTTCTCAACTCCCTCTTTCTTCAAGCAACATTTTAATTTAGGCCTGTGCCCTCCATCCTGGAGAGTTCATATATAATTCAGGGAAGGCTAAAGTGACTGGCCTCTCCATCTCTGTTTAACACCTTCATGTCAGCGAACAACCCTCTCTGTGCTAAATCCTTTCAGAGGCTAATCTGTGCCAGATCAAAGGGGAAGGGCTTTTAAGGCAATCTCCACAGAGCTGAGGTGATTATTAATTCATTGGAAGGTCTCCTCTGAAGTGCCCATTTATTTTTTGTATGCTAATGCATTTAAAGAGGCTGACGGTTTAAACACAGGTCCTAAATCACACAGTGAAATGTTTGCTGAAAGGGCTGATCTTTTATTTACAAAAAAATCCTGATACTCACTTCAGCCTTAGAAATCACCAGTTTGGGATTTATGTGCTGATAAGCTAAAAGAGTTCTGAGGAGATCCCTTTAGAAGTGATCATTCACAAGTATTTTCAAACTGTCTCAAAAATAAATAATAATAAAATAATTTCATGTTCTGAGTGTTTTTTAGTTTTACATGCTGGCTAACAGTGAACAATCCCAGCAAGCTGCTGTCCCTCAGCAGGGAATTAAACCACTCCTGCCTGCCCCAAACCAACCTGATCCACATGCTCAGAAAAGTGCTGCAATCCCCTGCACAAACCCTCCCTGCACACATCCCTCAGCCAGCCGCAGAGCTGGCCTGAGTCCATGAGCAGTGACAGGCATCAGTCAACAGAGGAAATAAAGACATAAACCAAACTCCCTTAGGCTTGCACAAGCCCTCAGCGCATCCTTGGCTAACAGCAGCCCAAAGCAGCCACGTTCTGGAGGTGTTCCATGTGCTGGGTGATGAACATCACACCAGGCCAGGGCATTTCACAGGGGACAGCCATAGCTGCTGTGCCCAGAGCTGCCAGCACACAACCCCACAGGCTGGTCTGCTCCCCTCCTTCCTGCTCCTGCTCCTTGCTGCTCCTCCTGGCCTCTGCCTGACCCCCACAGCTCATCAGGCCTCACTGCTCCTGCTTTCCAAGGCAATCCTTCTGCTGAGCTCTTTCTTTCCATGCTGTCTCCTCTGGACTTTTCACCACTCTCCTGTTACCTGCACCCAGCATTTCTAACATATCCCAGTCACTGGGGACCATTAGTTTTGCTTCCATATCAGTGGCCCTGTTGGAGGGATGCACCACCAGGACAGCTCTCTCTGCTCCTTTCCTTCTCTCCCTGTCAAAGCAGCACTACAGACTCAATCCTTAGAGCCTGCAAACCCCACTGGACAGAGTCTCTGCTCCCATCACCCTTCCAGCTGCTCACATGCTCTCACTGATTTCTTCAGACAAACCAAACACTTCAGTCAGGCAGCCAAGAACTCTTCTACCCACCACATCTGCTCCTCTGCCTCTTTTCTGGCAGCCATGGGAAGATTCCCTGACTCTGCATGCACAGCAGTTCTTACTCACTTCTCTCTCACCCCCACACTGCCTCTGCTTCCCTGCCTGGCTCCCCCTGTCCTTAAATCCTCCTCTGCCTTCTGCCCCACTTTCCTTGCAGCTGCAGCTTGGTCCCCTCAGCAGCAATGAAATGCCCTCTCTGTCTGTGATTGCAGATTTGTCCCCTCTGAGCACTGCATCCCCACAACCCCTGCCTGTCCCTCTGCCCCAGGAGTCTCTGATGAGAGCGTGACAGTGTCCCTCCTCCTGCCAGGATTCATTGCAGCCATCTGCTCTGCATCGAGGTGCTTTTACTGCACCTCTGGCTGTGCCATGCCAGCAGCACAGACAGCGGCACAGGGGGGGCACTGGGAACTTCAACAAAGGCAAGAGGTAATGATTAGAGACTCTTGATTTGTCACAAGCCATCAGAGGCTCCTCTGACAGGGCTGATTTATCTCCCCCTGTTTCAAATGGGACAGGGATTGCAGAGAGCAATGTGAAAATCCTGGCCAAGGCCAGGCAAGCCATAAACATTTGCAAGGCGCATGCTTGCCTCGGGAGCCTTTTTATCTCCTCAAGAGCCTGAGCCCCATGGTGCCTTTTATTGTCACTGCACATGGAACTGAGCCCAAAAGATCACTCTCAGAAAGAGTATCCCACAGAAAGGAATCCTGTTTCAATCCTCTGCTGCAGCAGGAAGTGGGGAGATTTTTCTCTTCTGTTTATTGTTATTTGCTGCATCAATCAGTGCCTGGCTGCACACTGCAAGGGGTCGGTTTTGTTGCTTGTTTGCTTTTAGAAGTGAGGAATGGTTGTGCTGAGTTTTATACGTGAAAAGAGCCGAAATTCCTCTCTGTGTCTGAACTGCAGTGTGGCACTGTCTGCTCACCATTTTGAAAGGGAATAATTAATTGCCTCATACCTGTTTAAAAACCACATTTGCACTCTTGCAGTGAGCCTGCAAAACTACCACAGCTCAGATTTTCTGCTGATTTTTGTCTTGTTCCAAGGTGAGGCAGGCTGCATAAAAAGGGACAGACCCAATCCCACACAGGCACACACCAGAACTGGCCTGCAGAACCCAAACCTAGGGATACTCACAGCTTGCTCAGGTTTTCCAGGCCTGTGAAAGCTCCATTGGTATCTTCTATTGTGCCTGAGATGTCGTTGTGGTCCAGCTCCCTGGGGAGAGCACAAGAGAGAGCTCAGAATCAGCACCTCAGTCCCAATGTCACTGTTACAAACAAGTGGAGGAAGCTATGTTTTAGAAGGCTAATTTATTATTTTATCATCTATATTATATTAAAGAATACTGAGCCACATGAGAGCTTCCCATTTTCTCCTGACAGTTACCAGAAAATGCAGAGTCACACAGCAAAGCAGCACCAATCACTTCTCCTGCCCTGGAATGGTGCATTCCAGACAGAGCATGTTCCTAGCTGAAACCCTCTGAGACAGAAAAGGTTTCTGTCCTTTTCCAGCTCTGCACATCCAAACAGGAGGAAAGTGAAAATAAAGTGCCAAAATAAAACTGAAATAAACAGCTGTCCTTAAATGCTGCTACCATGAAATAAGATCACTTTGGGTATTCCAGTGTATACATGTATTTGTCTATAGCTGAATCTTAGGAAGATGATTTGGTGTATTTTCTACAAAGCTGCATTTTTTCTGGCAATGAACTTGAAAACTCAATAAAGGAAAGTGCCAGCATCACTACACCAGCCTAACTCTGTATAAGCATTTGAAAAAAAACCAAGAGAATTCCTTTTCAGAGTTAGCTTCTTTTGGCTTTCAAATTGACCATCAATTACAAGAGTCAAAGAGGTCTGAAGAAAAACAAGCACACAGAACAAACACAGAGATCCACAAAAGCTGTTTGAACAGACTGTTTAGAAATCCTTCCCTCCCAGCTTTTGAATCTAGCTAGCAATGAATACCCAGCAACACAGACAGAAATTCATCATTTCCAATGTTAAGTAAAAAGAATGAAAAACTAAATAGGCTTTGTTGGTTTTGTTACATCACTCTGATTTAAAACCTGGCAAAACACAGCACCAAAGCAAACTTCACCATGCAGATAACCCCTGAGCCCTCAGGTACTCCTTTCACACCTTTTGAAGATGATTATCAGAACATTTCCAGATAAAAAAATATTAAGATCAAATAAAGAAAAACCAAGTCCCCTTACATTTTGCAACACTCCAGACACAGGCAGCACAGTGTGGCTTCTGGGCAGCACTAATACACAGTAACTCACAGGAAGGGAAAACAAATTTAAAAGAGAGCCCAGTTTCAATATGGGAATGGTTTCCCTCAGCTGCCTCAGTCTTTGCTCCTTTCTCTGCTTTAGGGTGAACCAAAGATGTGAAGGGAGATGACCAAAAGCCACAATTCCTGTTTCTCAGCTGGCTAAAGCCTGAGACCTGAATCTCACATCCCTGGAGAGCCCTGGCCTCAGCCAGCACCACTGTGGGTGTCAGGGTGATCTGTGGGGTGCTCTGTGCCAAAGGCATGGACAAAATGGGGGCACACAGGATGCTGTGGTGGCCAAAGAGATGGGTCCAGGAGAATGCTTTGATGTGCTGGCATTTCCAGCACCATCCTAGTGGGACAGGAGCAAATCCATCCTCCTGGAGCTCAGTTTCTACATTTTCCCTAGGCTTGCCAAGCCAATGTCTCTTGTTCTGTTTGTTTTTTTAAGGGTAAATCCCTTCTCAGACATTTCTCCTCTTCAGTTTCACCATGGGCTACTGGTCTTTGGAGCAGCAAAGCCTTTCCCATGGCAGAGGCAGACAAGTGGGAACAGCCTGTAGGAGCTCTGACACATACTTTTATTAATTGACTGCCACACATTGTGCTTTCTTGAAAAAGGGAAAGAAAATGGTATTGCTTGTTCATCCAGTGGCAACTCAAAGGTTTAGTGTTAGAAAGGAGGAATAAAAAACCTTTTTAACAAATGAGTGAAAATAGAGAGAGGGAGAAAAAAAGAGTGGGGTATTTTGGCCCAGCTCTCTTTGTATCCCAGCCCCTCTCCCAGCCCCTGTTGCCAATTTCCTATTCTTTCTGGCTGGCTGAGCCTGAATGCTCGCAGCCTTGTTAATCATTGTGCTCAGAGGTCTCCGGGCCTGACCTCCATTTGAATAGCTCCACATTTCAGCAGTTTCACACCCACCAAAGGCTCCCCAACAATAGCCCATAATTAAAGCATGCTCAGCTCTTTTTCACCAGGTGCAGGACCCAATAGGCCTTTCTCTTTATTAAATTAGAGCTCGCTCACACACTCCACCTCCCCCCCTCTGCCCTGGACATAAAAGAGGCTCCACATTCAGTGCAGAGCAAAGAGAAGGAGCAGTTTCCTTTCCCCTCCATTTTTCTTTGGAAACCTTTAGTTCCGGTCCTGACAGCTGCCTCAGAGAGGTCCCTGCTCAATGCCCAGGGCCTGAAAGGCTTTGGCTTAAGTTTAAAAAAAGCAAACAAAACCCAAACTCACTTTCCAGTCACTTCCTTCACTATGAACTTCAATAAAGAAAAGAGTAAGATGCAAAAAAGTACTGTAAAGAGGGGAGATTTTTCTGTTCCCATTTCCTTTTAATGACTCAGGCCACAATGGGCTTCTCAAGAGGAATAAAAGTATCAAAGTGTGTTTTTTTCCTTTGGAAGGAAGAACTAAATCAGTTTGCTGAACCCAAGCAGCCTGGGAACGTGTCTGGTGCTGTCACAAGGGCTGTGAGAACTCTGTGCTGTGCCAGATGAAGGTGCTGAGCCTGCAGCTCCCAGAGAGAGGAGAGAGCAGCCCTGCAGGTTCCAGTGAGGAGACAGAACACAGCAATGGAACTGCATCCCCCATCTCCTGATGCTCATAAGACAAGCCCAGATGTATTTCAGTCTCACACAGCTCTCACAATGCAATGCTACAATGCTACAACTGTGTCACCATCACATTTCTGAAAATTCTCCTCCTGGGAAGCTGTGAAGCCTCAGAGAAAAATGGAAACAATATTTATCTGATTGCTTCTCCTGTGTTTTGCTGCTTTAGAATGTGTTTAGATATTCTTTACCAACAGGTAATTGTTTCATTGGTTTCATGTGAATTGTTTTGACTCAATGGCCAATTATGGCCAAGCTGTGTCAGGACTCTGAAAGGAGTCACAAGTTTTCATTATTATCTTTTTAGCATTCTGTCTGTATCCTTTTTCTGTTCTTTAGTACAGTACATTTCTATATTATATTAAAGAATACTGTACAGTTTAGTACAGTATTCTTTAATATAATATAGAACATAAAATAATAAATTAGCCTTCTAAGAACATGGAATCAAATTCATCATTCCTTCCTCCTTCCTTCCCTCATCAGGGGTCACACAAATACAACACAACTGCACCCCACAGGAGGCCACACTGATCTGTCTCATAGGCTCTACTGCTCCTAAAACCTTACAAGTTGCTATTTGGATTAGGCAAGCTCATTTCCAGTATCACATTTCCAGGTATTTTATTGTGTCAGTGGTTTTAAAATAAAAGTCTGTGGTAAATGGCCACAGCCAGCACTGGATGGGTAATTTCTGTAATTCAGTATTAGGGCACATGAAACTTTGCCCTTGGCAACTTTTTTTTTTCCCAGAGTTTCCTATGAAAATCAGAGCACAGAATGTTTCATAGGCTCAACTGCATTAAAGATTTCTGCTTATTTGCATGGTACCTGCAAAAGCTTCTTATTTCTATGACTGGACTGAAGGCTGGGTGAAGCTTCATGTGTTGTTACTCTTCTGGTACAGTCAAATCTCAAGCCCAACCTTTACATTTCTTTGTTTTGCCATAGTTTTTTTCCTTAACATCATCTTACAATAATAATAATCTTATATTTAATCATAATTTTATATTTAATAGTCAGTTTTTTTAAAAAGTAACAACACAGAAGTGCTCAATAGCACATTTAAGAGGATATTCAAATTTCCAGTGTTGTCAGTAGAAGGAATCATTCCCTGCTCCTTCTGAGTGCAGAATGACCCAAAAGAAACCAAGTTTTTTTTAAGAATTTCAATTAAAATCAATGTGGCAGCAAGAGAAATACTGCTATTAGCTGCAGGAATGAGACCTCAAGGATTTTTGGTCAGCTGAGGTGGCTTCAGGAACCTGAAACTGCCAGACATGGGCACCCAAAGCATCTTCAAAGCAGACCCGTGTGACAAAAGCTGAGAGCAACTTACAGGACACGGAGGTTTTTGAGTCCCCTGAAAGCTCCTTCTGCAATGTGGTTGATGGAATTGTGGCTCAGCCTCAGCACGTGCAGCCCCCCCAGGTCTGCCAGGCTTCCCTCATCCAGCCTGGTCAGGTTGTTGTAGGAGAGAATCCTGAGGGGGAAAAAATGCAACAAACAGCTCTTGTCAATACTCTTGTCAATCCATCTGGTATTTTCCATACTCCTCTGTGCAAAGCAGTGCCTGCCTCCCACAGGCACCTGACATGAGGGGATGCACTGGGTGGGTGAGGAAATAAGATTGCAAGTATTGCCCCAAAACTTGGGGCAATTCTAAAGAGCAGGAGGCACCTGGTACCCAGCTCTGGGGCAACTTTCTGTGCAGGCTACAGAGAGAGGCTGTCCCAGGAGTGACTGAGGGCAATAACCCAGCAACACACCTTGTCAGCTCCAGCAGGGAGAGCTCCTCTCTGGTCTGCTCATGGTCTGGGAGCCCTGGCTGTGCTCAATCCCTCTCCCTGAGGCCCACAGGAGCAGCAGGCCCTGCTGCCCACGCCCTGTGAGGTGCAGAGTGATGTCACACTGATGGATTCTGGAGCTCACACAGCTCTTGGCAGGCTGCTGTGCTCAGGAGGTGCCTTATCATTCTGCACTTGTGCACAGCCAGCCCCAGGCTCTGGGTGTGGGTGCCTGGGCTCCACCCCGGTGCAGAGCCAAAAGCATTTCACCACAAGGCAATTGAATGCTTCCTTTCACCCACAGAAAGGAGGTGTCTGTTGTAAACCAGCCACCTTTCCTTCCTCCCACTCCCCTTTGTAAGGAGCACAGCCTGCCTTAAATCCTCTCCACTTACAAAAGACTATTGGAGGGTTGTTTTTTTTCCTAGTTTTCCATCTATCTCCTCCCCTTGCCTGCATTATGTCTGGTCTGGGAGGTTTTTTTAAGCATTGCTCCTGTTGCATTTGGAAGCTGACAGGAAGGCAGCAGCTTTGCTCTCCCAGAAAGATGTAGATGAGGCTTTGGAGATGTGACACTGAGGGCAAGCCTTGGGATCTGTGCAACCACCTTCTATCCAGAATAAAGCTCTGCTTTATTGTGGAAGGCCAGCCTGGATTCTCACATGAGAGCAGCAGCAGGCCCCAATTTTTCACAACCACCTTCTTGGTGACCTGGGAGTGCCACTCACTTCAGAAGATGTGAGGGTTTGGGCGGCTCAGCTTTTGAAAAAGTGAAACAGCTTTGAACAAGCACTGAAATTCTTCACTGTACAGACAAGAAAAAAAAATCACTGAGTTCCAAACCTCCAAATTCCTCTTCTAGCACTGCCTGTTAATGAGTCTGCTTAAAAATGTGTCTGGGGCTTGCATGAAATTCACTGCAAAGCCAAAACCAAAGCCCAAACAGACACATACTCCAGAGCACTGAGAGTGTCATTTACTTGGCAAAGGGGCTGTCTATCTTTTAGCTGTGTGAGTGGGCAGAGGGCAAGCTCTGGAAAAAATTCAGAAAAGATTAATGAGTTTGAAGGTATGGGACAACATACTTTCATTCCTAAAGAAGCTATAGTGTTAGTTATGAAGAACTGGCATCTGGTCAAAATTATGTCCTCACCTGCTATTAAAGAATTTGGGTTTTAAAAAAAATTGTTTAAAAGTAATCCTAAACCTGGCTGAGAAAATAAATAGTTCCTTTTGACTCCACACATAAGAGTTCCTGCCACAACTGGTGAAGGCATGTTCCCTCTGTTTGTTTGGATGGACAGACAGCAGCAGGACATGGTGACTCTCACTGGTGTCACACACGGAAAGTTTCAGGAGCTATTGCACCTGGCAGTGGCTTCTTCAGCATGCCAGGGCCCTGCTTCCTGCCACAGGACAGGGCAATTNCAGGGCCCTGCTTCCTGCCACAGGACAGGGCAATTCATTGTTACACTTCTGGTATAGTCAGATGCCAAGCCCAACCTCTACCTTTCTTTGTTTTCCAATTGTTTTTTTTTTTTTCCTTAACATCATCTAATGTTAATCATGATTTTATATTTAATCATAATTTTATATTCAATATTCAGTTAAAAAAAAAAGGTAACAACACAGAAGTGTTCAATAGCACATTTAAGAGGATATTAAAAAAAAAGGTGAGAAATCACTGGCATGAATAAATGGCAATGTTTGTCTACACAGCCCTTCCAGCCTGGCCAGAAGTAGGAGATTTTGAGCACCATGCCAGAATTGCTGCAGGAAGGGGTTAACCAGAGCCCTGTTGTGCAACTGGAGCTGCTGCTGCCAGCCTGTTCTGGACCAGGTACATCTCACACACTTCACTCCCCCTGACCAAGCCACAGGTAAAAAAAAGGGAAGGAAAGACCCAGCAGCCAAGTCACCATTTACCTCTGATGACACCCTCTGCTCCCACTGTGGTTTTTTCCATGATGCTGATGCTCCAGCACCTGACTGGTGAATACAATCAGCCCTTTCTCATGCTCAGAACAAGGCAAGAGCTTTCTTTCCTTGTCAGCTCTTACATCAGCCCAGAGCCTTGGCTTCACGTTTTGTCCCAGCAACTGATGATGAGAGATAACTCCTCCTTCAGATGATCAACTCCCTCCTTAGAAGACTGAAATTCATTCCCTGTACAGCCACAGTGGTTTCAGGTCACTGAAACCCAGCAGATTTAGCAACAGTGGAGGTGAGCAAGGATCTTTCAATGAGGAATGAAACCACTGACAAAGTGCATGAGCCAGTCTGGATGTGTCCATGGCTTCCTTTCCTCACCCTGGCATTTCAGCACAGACCTCTCCTACAGGAGTTTCACTGAGATCTGATGGCTCCCTGCAGCAGCCTTACCCGAAAGGCAGCACCTGAGAGAGCTTGCAGGACTTTGCAGGGCTGTGCTAACACCCACACAATCACCTTTCCCATCTCAGCCACGGCCTCAGACTGCAGCACTCCTGCCTGCCAGGCCAGGCACACCCCAGGGCCTCACACCACCTCACACCACCAGGCACCTTCCAAATCTACCCCATCCTGCACCCCAGTTTCTGCCATTCCTGCTCCTGAGACAGGACAGCTCACTGCTAGAACTGCTTGTTGGATGAGATCCTAATCCATACCTGAGGAAAAGGACTCAGCATGACAAGCAACCTCCAATGCAAACCTTGAGGGTTTGCAAAAAGAGCCATGGAGAGAAGACTCTGCTCTCCCTAAAAGAGTTCTGCCATTAGCCCTGGGAGGTGCAGGTGGGTCTGACCCATCCCATCTAACCAGGCTGAAATAAAGTTTAGCACAGGCACCAGATATTTGGTTCTGTGCAGTGCAGTGATCTGCATTTGGCTGTACCAAGGATCCAGCTGTGAGTGCAAGTTCCCCTTTTTTTGATGCTTCAGATTTTACCAGACCAAAGGCACAGCACAGTTCCAGTTTTATCTGCTGCCTTGAAGATCCCTCCATTAACACTGCCTTAATCCAGCAAAATATCATGTGAGGATCTCAGTTGAGCAAGGCATGGGCAGTTCTGCAGCCATTTGAAAAATTAGGTAATTCAACAATCACGTGTGTATTTAATTAAAACAAAAAATAAAGTACTTCCTTGCACCCCCAAAAAATAACCAACATCTGAACAAATAATTTGGATTCAACAGAAGACCACAGGACTAGAATGTTAATTCTAAACATAAAGAAATTACATGTGTCATGTGTATCCATCTCTGAACCCACAGCCCAAAGGTTTCAGAATCACAGCTGGGTGGGCAGATACCAACCTCCAGTGTGAGAGCAGAGTGAGGCCTCTGGCAGCAGGAATTTGCTCCACCATACTGCTTTTTGGTCCATAGGAGACTCCCTGACAATGTTCAGCAGAATGGATTCCAGCTCCACTGACCACGTGTCAAGTTGACCAAAGTAAAAAGCAAAGCTTTGTACAGAGGGGATGGCAGCACCTTCTGTAAATACTGCAAGCATCCCTGTGTGCCTCTTCAAAAAGGCATTAAGCAGTGCCACAGACCCAAAAGACACCCTTGTGGGGCTGCCCTCAGCAGCGAGGCTTTCCTTCACTTGTCAGGCTGTATCCCCAGCACCTCAGGAGAGCAAAGCCATGTATTTGCTTTTCAACAACTGAACCCCACAGGAAGGATAAAGGGTAAACAGGAGAAACAAGGAGAACTGCCTTGAAAGGGCCAAATCTCTGCTGGTTGAAAGCATGGTTGTTCTTTGTAAACACAGAGCTTCCTTCAGGCTGTACAGTTATTATATGGCAAGTCACAAGTCTTGAAACTCACTAGCTAAAAACATTGGCAAGCCACAGCTCACAAACTCTCCAGGTCTTTTGGCACTGTGCACTTTTAGTGGGTTCTAGCCTTTGTTTCTGGTACAAATGAGTTTTAACCAGGTGCTCTGAAGGTCATAACATCATAAATAACCCGGGCATCACTTAGGAGCCTGCAGTTCCTGCATTTCTACAGGTTAATACAGTGGGAGCTGTAAGCCTTGAGAAATTTCCTTACTCCCCTCTCTCCTGTCAGCATCACACGACACCACACAAAGCAACTCACAGCTCGTGCAGCTTCTGGCAGAAGCTCCAGCCATCGGGGTTGATGCGGGATATAGAGTTGTTGCTGAGGTGGAGCTGGTGCAGAGAGGAAAGGCCATAGAGAGAGCCACTGTTCACTTCTGTCAGGCTGTTGTATTCCAGGTGCCTGTGGAGGAAAATTAGAAGGAATTGACAGATAAGCAGCACTGGTCAAATGCTGAAAGAATTTCCAAAAAGAAATGAGATTTTTGCCATTCCTACACACCTTTCTACATTCCCACGTGGACACATGCATGTGTGGGCATTTCTTGTCAAACAAAGAGAGAAATTCAAGGACAACACAAAGGAAATTCCCACAAGGAGATGTGACTGCAGAGAGAAGCTCCACTGCAAGTAAACTGAGCTTAAAGCATCCCACTCAAGTTTGTATTTGCAGAGTCTCAGTTGTGTGACAGCAGCACCCAGAAACATGCTGCCTTCATCACCTGGGACCTCACAAACACACCTGGAAGCCAAGGGTGCTGGAAGCTTCAGGTATTTCTCTGCAATGACTAATCAATTTATTCTCTGGTATGGAAAGAAAGCATCACCAAGAATGGCCAGCTTGGTTTCTAGGTATCCCATGAGGTGGAATGATACTGTCTGCAACACAGAGTTTCCATCTATCGGCCAAAACAAATTTGCAGAAAACAGATATTTAAAAAGCAATTGAGATAAATGCTGAATGTTCAAACTGTCAAAATTTCAAAGGAATAGTGCTAGAGCTTAAAAAAGTTTTTATTGAACACCTGCTGAAGCACCGAGCTTTTGTAAACTGTGGGTCAGCCAAAGAGAAGCTGCTGTATCAAACTTGTAGGCACCCTGAGGTGGGGAGAGAATGATGAGAGATGATGATCTATCTTATCAGAAGGGTAATTAATTACTTTATTACTTTATATTACACTATTTTACATTACTGCCAAGCACTCAACTCTGCACACAACTTCAGGGAATCTCGTGACTGTCAGCTCACAGTCCCAACATACACTTGTAAATACAACACCATCACTTTAGATAAACAATCTCCATATTGCACTCTACTTTTACACAAACACAGGCACAGCAAATAAAATAAGAATTGTGTTTTCTTTCTCTGAGGTTCAGAGAATGTGAATCTCAGAAACATTCTTGTGGGAAATTATGCTTTCCTCTGTGAAGAGAAATGTAGCAGCAGCTTGTGCTCCTTTTCCTCTGGGCGTGCAGGACAAAGAAAGAAGCACAAGTAGCAGCACGGGTCACTGCTAAAATACAGAGAAGGATGTGACAGCACCAACTTACAGAACTTGCATTTTGGCCAGGCCCCAGAAAGCCCCATCAGTGAGTTTGCTGATGTTGTTGCGCTGCAGTTTCAGCACTTCCAGGCTGTCCAGCCCCTGGAACGTCAGCCCTTCAATCAGGCGGAGGCGATTGCGGTTCAGCTCCCTGAAATCACCAAGGCCATACAAGTTTGTTAAAGCCCAGCCCTTTCTCACCCAGTCATCTGTGCAGCACACAATGGGGACAGCAATGCCAGCAGCTCCTGTGTCAGTGGTTCCCAGGAGGCAGCAGAGCAGCACCGGAACCCTTCAATCCCAGAGCTATCCAGGGGAGGCAGCTGCGTGTGATCTCCTAAACAAACTCACCCTGGGACAGGCTTTCACTACAGAGAAATTACACAGGGCAGCAATTCCTCTTCATCCCTCCTCTCTCTGCATTGCTTTTCAACCATTGATCCTTCTCATCAATTCCCACTCTCCATCCTCCCTCAAGCGTAGACACCATTTGAACCAAAACATTGGCATTATTTCCTTTACAATCCATTGTTTTTATAGGACTTGTAATTGCCCAGTAAAAATGTGCTCTTGAAACATGCAGGTGTCCCAGAAGTGTGGGCCCAAGAGGAAACCTTGTGGCCAAGTCTGCAAGGAAAGCCTTCAGTGCCCCTGAAAAACGTCACTTTTTTTTCTTCCCTACTATGAGAAACTGAAAAAGACTGAAAGTGTTTCCAATAACAATGCAGTCTTAGTATTTGTGTATACAAAGGTTTCCAGCCTGGTTCATTAAATTTCTTTTGAGTTTCTCTGGGTGGGGAAGGACACCTAAATTTTGGCAATATCTTTTTTCTGAATAGCAATATGAACATCATCACAGCACACTCTACCAACATATATCAGTCTTATGGGTTGCTTGACTCAGACATACCAGGTGAAAATCCAGTTCTGTTAAGTCAGTGGAGAACTTCAATGCACTAAAAGCTGAAAGTAAAGCTTTTAAAACTGATACTTTTCCACACATACAGGATCAAGCTGAACATAGTTCCCTATTCAGTGTTTGTGTTGAGGAAAATGGTGGAGGTTACAACATCCAAACTTGTTTTGGAAAAGATGTAGAGGCCATAGAGACTTTAAGCTTACTTTTCAACTGCCTAAAAAAACAATGTTGAACTTGGGCTCAAGTTGAGAATAATTAAAGTCAAGTAAGCAATACAGATTTTGCAGGCCTAAAGTCCCTTGTGGTACTGCACTTCCTGGGCTATTAGCGAAACAGGCTTTGCCAGAAAAAGAACTGTACACAAATCCTACAACACACCAATCTGGGTAACTTGCAATTCATTCATGTTTATCTGCAGAGTTAAACATCCAGCTCTAAGGCAGTCATTAAGAGCACCAATTACTCCATCTCTCAGTGCAAACCATGTTCCTAAACAGACTGAGCTGTTTTCATTACAGTTCTGCACATGATGCAGTCAAACACAGTGAATTAGAAGCCCTCACTCAATGGACAGCAACTTCCAGCTGAGAGGCAGCAGACTTTTCCTATTGTGTGTCCCATCCCATCCCAAACTGCCTGTAAATCCTGCATGTATGCAGACACAAATGCACACACTCCTTGGGCACACCCTGGCTTCAGGATTTCTCTCTCAGTCAAGAGGTTGACACTTGGAGGTGCAAGTTCCAACAGCATTTGTGGACTTTACGTGAACAGACAGAGGTGGACCTTCTGCCTATAAAATTTGATGGAAAGATTGCAAGGAGCCTTAGGCTGGGCCCATTTCTCCAACAGCAGCAGAAGGAAAAAGCTCAACCATTAGTGCCACTTTTTTACACATAAAACATGTTTATAGCTACAGATGTCTGTACGTCCCCATGCAGGCAGAACAACAACCTTGTGTGTGTTAACTCACCTGAGCTGCAATTTTCTCGGCCCAAATATCACCTCACAGTTTAACAACCTTCCCTCATTGCTTTTTTATTGCCAATGAAGATACCTGTGTGGCCATGAAACACTAACACAGCATCTGAGTTCTGTCCCTCTCAATGGAAACATCTCACAAACCTCTCTTGCACCAGACACCAGCAGCTTGCAAGGGAATGGATTTGTCTCACTGTCAAGTGCAAAAGATGCTGATGTCTGCTGCAGCATTCCTCCCTCCCTCCCCACCTGATCCAAATAATGACCTGAAAAGCCAAGAGTTGCAAGACAAAACCCTCTCCCAGTGTGCCTTCCTAGGAGCTGGCAGAGAACTCCTGCACAGTGAATTCTACATTTCATACACAGCAGGTGAGGACGGGTGACATTTGCTGTGCATACCCCCAGGATCATTTTATCTCCACGAAGAGCTTCATTAAAGTGGACATTTGTACTCACAGCTGAATTAGCCTGGGCAGCCTGAAGGCCTTGACAGGAAGCTGGGTGATCCTGTTTTTACTCAGCCTGAGTGTCAGCAGGGTCCGGGACAGGCTATCGAAGGCACCGGGCTCCAGGGTGCTGATTCTGTTGCTCCCCAGGTAGCTGCAATAAATCACAGCACAAAAATGAATGCTTCTGTCAGAAATTACCTTTTATCAGCATTTAGTTGGTCTCCAGACAAGCTGGTAAAACTACAGAGGTGGCTTCAACCCAGCTGAATTTCTGTCTGCACAAAGGGCCTTTCCCAGAGCCTGTGATGAATGTGGGGAATTGCTGGGCACTTCTAAAGAGCTCCCTGACGCCCTCCTACTAGAACAAGGCAATCAGGAGTGGAAGCCAGAAACTGGAGACTATTCCAGTGCAGGATGATGCTATTCATTCCCCATTTTACCCTCAGTATCTGTCCCAGAGGTATTTTTTATTTGGATCCCAGTCTGAGCCACAGGGGGCTGTTTCTGCAGGACATCAGTCACAACACCACTCTCTTATACCCTCTTGCATCCAGGAACAAACTTGGGAGTAAAGTTCAATGCAGGCAGACTACGTGCCTGCACCTCTTCAAAAGTACCTAAAATACAGATTATTTCATATTTCTCTGAATAGGCAAGCATCTTGTGGGAGTGTGTTACTCTGCTTGACCCCATTTTCTTCAGATAATCAGAGACATGTCTGTTCTCAATATTCAGAAAGCCACTTTAATGATTAAATAGTTGTTCTCTCTCCACTCTTCTAGATGCACATGGGTTTGCAGCTGTAAAGACACCTACACATGAAGGATGTAGGATACCTGAAAGATATCTTTTCACTGCAACACAATTAATAATAATCTGTATTCTTTATAGAGACACCTACACATGAAGGGTGCAGGATACCTGAAAGATAGAGATCTTTTCTTTGCAACACAATTAATAATAATCTGCATTCTTTACTGAGATACCTACACAAGAAGGATGTAGGATACCTGAAAGATAGAGATCTTTTCTCTGCAACACAATTAATAATAATCTGCATTCTTTATAGCTACTTCAGAAATCAAACACCACTCAAAAAATAACCTGACAACAGTGACAACGTGCTGCCTTCTAACTTTCCCTTGCGCTTAAAATGCTGACAAATAATCCCATACTTCTCATGCTCATGCCCCCTTTTTCTGAAGGTTTGAGGCCCTTTTCTGTGCTGTGCTAAGTCCACAAAAGCAGTTCCCAGCCAGCAGCACTCACAGCTCCTTGATGAGCAGTCCCTGTGGGAAGCAGCCGTTTCGGATTTCCGTGATGTCATTGAAGCTCAGGTCCAGCGTTTCCAGGGTAACGTAGGGCTGCAGCTCTCTGCCCTCGATGCTGCGGATCCTGTTGTGATGCCTGCAACAGTCAGGAGCAGAAAAAAGGGACTGTTTAGCTCTCTTAGAAAAACAGAATTAATATCCGAGTCTGCAGCAGGCCCTGAGTTTGTATACTCAGAGTTATGGTGACTTTTTAACAGCTTTAACTTTTTAACTATTGCAGAGAGATTCTCTAATCCCCTCTGGCTACAGCCAGCTCACAGGTGTCTGCAGGCTTCCACTTTTTTCCTTCTACAGAGCTATTGACTCGACTCATCAGTTTTTCTTCCATTAATCTGGGCTCTCCCACAAGCCTGTACTTCCAAACTGGGTTTGTTACATGCAAGGACTACAGGGCTGTTCAAAAATCCCAAAGGCAGGAGTGCAGATCAGTGGCTCAACATGCCAAGGCTTTATCCAGAGAATGTGACTTTCAGAGAAGGAAACAAATAAGTGAATACAAACTCAACAAAAGTTACATAACACTCTACATTCCTAAAGATTCTTCTGAAAATTCCCCGCTTTGCACTGTGTTACAGTGATTTATAACACACAGAAGTAAGAAGCCTTGCAAACGTTCTTGCTGGCATTTCCTTATCTTTTGCTACTTTTGTCCTGCTGTAGGATTAGGACAACTCTGCAGTGCCCAACCACCAGCTGCAGGATCAGACCTGCACTGACCATCTGTGTTTGCTGCCTGACCAGGACAGCCTGAGGGATTCAACCCAAAGTTTCTCTTTAGAGAAATTCCTACCAACTGCCCTCAGTTTGCTTCCACAGCCAGCAAACAGTTAAATACCTTTAGACCTCATCTGTACTCAACAAGGTCTAAGTAAAAATCACCCCCTCACTGAGTCCTTTCCTCTGACTCCTTTCTGGCCTGAGTCAGTAGAGAACAGTAATCAATTAAAAAAATACATTGTGCATTAGTCACAAGAGGCAGAGCACATGCCTGATGTGAATTTAGAGCAGTCACTGATATTACTGGCAAGGCTGGGAGTGAGGCACTCCAAACAGAGACGCTCACCAGACACTTGGGAACTTGCTGAATAATAAGAGACAGTAAAGAGAGTTCAGACAAGTCCTGTGCCTCAATCCATCCAGACACCCACTGGGTGAGCAGAGGAGGGGAGAGCAGCCAGCGAAAGCACTCCTGAATGCAAGTCCCAGCTCCCCTGACAAGGCATCAGCCCTTTGAAACAAAAACTGAGACAGCTTTTCAGGCACTTCCAGCTGTTCAGGAGCCCATCTTCTCCAGCTTCCACCCCTCTTCAGGCTCTCCCAGGGGTTCAGACAAACCCCTTTGGAAGAAAAGCTCCTCTCTTTGACAGAAAATGGCAAGGGACCTACTCCCCACACCGTGATCTGCTCCCTTTACCCTCCCTGTTATTAAAACCAGATTGTTTCACCACAACCTTTGCTGGTGTCCACAACAGGAAGAGTGAAAAATCTGCAACCCAGAACAATTTGCTTTTGGGAGACTCACCATTTAAACAGCCAGCACATGGCCCTTGCTTAACACTGGGGAAACAGGCACAGAGACTCTACTTGGACTGAAGAGTTTAAGTGATAATTAATTCAGTGCAGGCTCAGAAAACACTAAGGACGAATTTTACAGCACTATAGCTGCTAATACAATGCAACAAGGTGTCAATAAAAATCAAAGGAAAGTCATAATTTATGTCTCCAAACTGGTTATTCCATGAGTTACCTGCACACAGGTCTCCACAATCTCAACTGTTTCAAAGGTAATGACATGGCTGCTATCCAAAAGACCAATATTCATTTACAGCTGGGAATAAAGTCTGGATTTTCACATCCATGCACATAGTAGGACAGCGGTGCACCAAATTTATACCACAGTGAGACTAAAATACAGGAAAAATCACTATACCCAGAATTTTATGACCTCCATTAACTAAAAACACGGGCAAGGGAAATTTCTTTCCCTCTAGGACTATTTTTTTTTTTTTTTTTGCAATTAACTTGATTAGTAGAATCACAAGGTTCAGAAATTTCTGATCTTTTTTCCCTCCTCAAAAGAAGAGCACCCATTAAATGTGCATCCAAGCCTGACTCAGGAAAGTACCTGAACACAGACAACTGAAAGCAAAGCACGAGCACGTTTTCTGGAGCTCTCCTGAAGCAGGGGCTGCAAGTTCAGCTCTGATCTCATCTAAGCTGAGATGGCTGAGATGAATCTGGCTGTAAATTAACAGGAAATGAAGGCTTGTACAAACGAACATGGAGAATCTATAAATCACCTGACAATCCCTACACAGCCTACACAGGGCAGCAAAGTCTGCAAGGGACTGAGAGCACAGAGTGAATTTGGACATGAAATGCTCTTCAGAAGCCAATGGTTTTTTGGTTTTTTTTTTTTCTTTCTTTTGGAGTATTAATATTTTTGTGCTTTGGTTGCTCAATATATATTTACTCTGCCTGCCTGCCAGATCTCCCAACCCATCCCAGAAGACAGACTTGAAAAAGGGAAGAAAAGGACAGGAAAGAACTATTTTGTTTGAGCCGTGTTCGCAGTTTCCAGGTGACTTCTGTCTGTTCGCCTCTCGCTTTTCATGTGCTGCAGCTGGCAGATGAGAGGGATACTTTATTTTACACAGGCAGAAAAACTGGCTCCTTTCTCTCCCTCTCCCCCTTCTCCTTCAAACATGGGCTGACTCCAAATGTAGCTCTCAGCTCCAAACACCATCCCGGGCCAGTCCCAGCTGGGGAATGTCAGACAGTTCGCTGCAAAGCACTGCACCCTCTCAAAGCACTGCACTTCAAACAAAGCCTGTGACTTTTCCTATACACAGCATGTGATATGAAGGCAACAGAGCCCAAACCTTTTACTAGCTTGATTACAATTTATTTTTCATTCTTTTGGTAAGGGCCCAAATGTGATTTAACCCTTACTGTTACTACTTGGATCCTCTCGGCTCTCCTGTCTTTGTTCCTCTGTTCATTGCAGAAAAAAACCCAAAAAACCCCGTGATGCTATGAATTTGCCTCTCCCCTTTATCACTGACTGGAAAAGGGCTGGATTTCTCCCAACCACTTCACATTGGGTTGACTTCAGACGTGACAGATCAGATTTTAGAACCAATTGCCGAAACCGGGCATTAAAGCACAAATACTTGGTGCTTGCACAACCAACACCTCCAGGTATCCTTTCCTCTCCCCACTCCTTGGGTATCACAGCCTGGAAACAGCCTTCCCTGCCTCACTTTACTTCAAGAGTGTACAATGACAGGGCTTCAATGTGAGATTGTGCAATTAGAGCCTGGAGTGGGAGCCAAGTCTCTTGGTTTCTATTCCCAGCTCTGGCACAGACTCATCTGCCTTGGGCAAGTTCCTTAACCCCTCTCTACCTCTGGCTTTCCAAAGTGCATGGAAAAGGACTATCCAGCTAGGATGATGCAGCCTTTGCTGAGGACTAAAAACCTGGAGTGAAAGCAGCTCAAGCAAAAAAGAAATCATAGGAACTAAGGAGCCCATCCAAGTCCATTTGGGTTTGTTTATGAATGTGGATCTGGCTAAAACAACAGAACTTCCAAGTTCATCCCCAACGTCATTCCCAGAGACACCTCATCTGCAGCTAGCACAGACCTGGAACACCTCTGTGCCAAGCTAAGGTAACTGGCAGTCAGCAGTGATCCCTTCCACACTCTCTGTGCTCATGGCACTTGTTCAGGAACTTCTTCACCCTGGGGTCAGCACCAGCTCCGGCCACAGAGGGAGAGGAGAGCAGGGTGGATGCACCCTCCAGCCCCTCAGTTCAACACCCCAGAGTAGCATAGCCCCTCAGCACTTGTATTTTGCACAGATCCCTTGTGTCTACAGGAAATTTGGACCATCCCCAGGCAGCTCCTTGCTGAAGCAAGGCTGTGAGGAAACAAACGCAAGGCGCGCTCTCTGCTCCGCCGCTCTGAGAAAAACAAGCAGAACGTTCCAGCACAGCCAAAGCCTGTTTGGGTTTGCTCTGAGCCGGGAGGGAGCTGGAGGGGGTGGCAGGAAAATAACAGGTGGCGCAAAGTCAAAGGCTTGCAGCATTTCCAGGAATCTCAGCTTGTATTTTAGAGGTAAAGTTACACTTTAATCCCGGTGCATTTCCTCATTCGAGGCGTCTTTGTGAATATTTATTTGATAAACAGGCTGTGAAACATTTTCCACCAGATCTAACGGGAAGAATTCACCTTCCTCTTTGCAGCAAGCAAGGAGAATGCCACTCCGTTTAAATTATACCTCAGCTTCAAACTCCTTGTGTGAAATGGATGCAAAGAGCAGCACAAAGTCATTCCTTTGTTGTTTGAGCCACATTCACTCTCCCCAGCAGCTGCCCACTCCAAAGCTGACAGCAGAAAATCAAAGCAAGACCCTCAGACAGGAATGCATGAGGGGCTTTGCTTGGGCTGATTTAAATACAATCAGCACAAAACCTCCTGGTTTAGACAAAGCTTGAATTAAGGCTGCTGTGGCTGCAGTGTAAATGTTCAGTGTGAAGCGAGGCTAAAGGCAGGCAGAAGTCACATGCCTGCCCTTCATGTAGTGTCAGCTTACAGATCTGGCCCGGCTCACCAGAGAAAAAGGAAAGCTGTAATACAGCAAACCTATTAAAGCAGCACCTGTTATAGGCATCAAAAATAAAACTGAGCTTCTAAAGAGGGGCTCTGCACCTCGGGCAGGGTTCTATTAATATGCCAGCACATTTTCAAAATTAGCGTACGAGGGAGATCACAGGACTAGAAAGAGAGAGATTTTAAAAAGTTCAGGGTTTGGTTAGGATTTCCATCCTGACAAAGCACTGAAGAAACAAAATGCTGGAGCCAGAAAGAGTTATGGGGTTTGGTAGTGAAGGACAGGCAAGGTTTGGTGTCACAGACTGGCTGTGCAAAGAGACGGAGATCAAAGGCAGCGTAACCAGAGATGGATCACACACACTGTGACTAACACATGCCTGCAACTACCTGCCCTCCTCCTCCTGCTCACCTCAGAGATGGAGATCCAGTACTGATCCTTCTAGAAACACTGAAGAAGATC